CCAGCGGCGCCCAAAAAACCCCGCGTTGTGTGCCCCCAGGGCCGCCTCTCCGGCCAAAACACAAGGGCTGCTCCGGGCAGCACCTGGATGCGGTCCTGGGAATGCAGCGCCGGGATGCAGCCCCGGGATGCAGCACTGGGATGCGGCCCTGGGAATGCAGCGCTGGGATGCAGCGCTGGAATGCAGTGCCAGGATGCAGCACTGGGATGCAGCCCCAGTATGCAGTGCCGGGATGCAGCACCGATATGCAGTGCCAGGATACAATGCTAGGATGCAGTGTCAGGATGCATCCCCGGGATGCAGCGCTGGGAATGCAGCCCTGGGATGCAGTGCCAGGATACAATGCCAGGACGCAGTGCCAGGATGCATCCCCAGGATGCAGCGCTGGGATGCAGCCTCGGGATGCAGCGCCGGGATGCAGGGGGCTCGGAGCGGCGTCCCGGCGCATCCCAGCGCCCACAGCAAACACGCTGCAGGAGGAATGCACAGGGAAGCGGCGGGAGCAGAGGGATGGAAAAGGGTGGGAGAGACAAGCAGGAGGCGAGGTGGGAAAAAAAAATAAAGCCCTCGTGTGGGGCGGCACCCTAGAGCGTCGGAGGATAAAGACTATTAGAAGAACATGTCCCTACACTAAGATAAGCCGGAGAAATGAATCCTTATCCGTCCAAAACCAACCCTTTAAAAACCGAGCGAGAGAAGGGTCTGCTTTCAGGGAAACGGGGAATCCTTAATGCTTCCTCCCTCAGCAACTGTAATGCCAGGATGTTCCCAATCTGCTTTGAGGGATGGAAAGATTAAGAATAATAAAAAAATTGCAATAAAATATGTGTGAACGAGGGGGTAATTGTGGACAAATGCAGCATTCAAATTCATTTTTCAGCTCTTTTACACACCATTTCAATCTTATTTTCTGCTTGTTAATGAGATCTTGTTGGTTGGGGTGGGCACGGCTGCCCAGTATCGCTTGGGTAATTGCACATAATTTTCTGTCTACTAGTGATTTGCATCAGATTTTTTTTTCTAATTCTTTGCTATTTAAACCCCTTCCTCCCTTTCACCCCCTCCCCACCAAATCTCACCCTCTCCTCCCCCTCTCTTTTCCCCTCCCCTTCTCTGGCCCGGCAAGGCTCATTTTGAATGCTTATTATAGGCACAGTGTCTCCGACACAAAAAAAAAAGGAAAAAAGGGGAAAAAGTAAAGAAAAAACGAAGGGAAGCAGACGGGCAGGATCCGTGTGGCTGCGTCCGTGGAGTGGCTGCGCCGTGTCCTTCCCCCGTGCCAGCTCTGCCCCAAAATAAGGGGGGTGTCACTTGTCCTGCAGTGACGCGGGTGTCACTTCCCCTGCTCCAGGGCTGGGCTGGCACTTTGGTGCATGTTAACACCAAATAGACCCTAGCTCGGAGCCTGCCTTGTGTTTCCAGCCTCTCTCTGACTGTCAAGAAACGGTGATAAATCCAGGAGCAGGAAAACCCGAATCCAACCTTCGGTCTCCGGTCGCGGCCGCGCGAACGCAGGGCTGAGCGTACGGCCATGGCGCTGGGAGCGAGCGATGGAACAGAATTGTGGAAAAAGAAAAAGCCTGTGAAAGCTCTGAGAAAATTAAAGCAACAAATACGAGCTGGTGAACGAGTTTCTCTTGGCTCTCGATATTTCTGGAATTATCTTAATCTCTGGGTGATCCTGTGGGTTTGCTCAAAGACTCAAAGGTCTCAGCAATAACACGTTGTGGAAGTGCAGGAGCTGCCTGAGCGCAGCCTCCAACGCAGCCACCCCAGCGTGTCCCCAGCGCCGCGCTGGCCCCGCACCGGTGACAACAGCGAGTCCCGGGTCACGAGTGGGTTAAATCAGGAGGTGAAGCTGGGGAAGGCGAGTCTGGCTGCCCATAAAGAACAGCATTTTGCTGCTGCTTTCAACCTGTGACGCAAGCAGGGCACAAAATTGTGCCAAATGCTAAGGGTCCCTTCCAAAGGGCTCTCCTGCTCGTCACCTCCCAGGCGAGCTGCTGTCCATTGAATCCTTTGGGATGAGGAGAGCAAGGAGCAGCCCCGGGCCTGGCCAGCCACAGCGCTTCATGAGCTACAGAACCGTCTGCTGCGGAGTGTTTGCAATAGGGTGCTCTCCACCTGGCTGGAATTACCCTGAGCTGACCATTACACGGAGCTGTTTAATGAGAAACCTGGTGTCCCTCAGTGAGGATTCTCCCACGAACACATTGGATTTTCAACCCACTCTGTCCCATCGCTGTGAGAAAAGCTGAGACAGGAGCCAGCAGGAGCGTTTGCTCCGACCCCTCGGAGGAGGAGGAAGGGAGCCCGCGCGGAGCCGCGATGAAGGGCGAGCGATGATGGGACGGAACAGCTGGAAACGCCAATTCCCGGCAGACCGCGCTGCTTGGCAGTGCCAGGGAAAGGCTGAGGAGCGGGGGGAGCAGAGGCCGCTTGTGGGAAACGCTGGAAGGCGCCGGGAGCAAAAAGCGCCCCGTAAAGCGGCCGGGACGGAGCCCGCGTCCCCATGGAGCTCGGGTGACGTCTCCAGCGGCGGCGGCTCCTTTGGCGACCGGGGGAAGGGGGGACGAGCGCGTGCGCGCGCGGGGGGACCGTAATCCCCGTCTCTCCTCCGCGGGACGGAGACCCCGCGCTGCCTCCTCGGGGGTGTCAGGTGGCAGCGCCGCGGCCGGGCGGCGGGGACACCCAATCCCCGTAACCGGATAGCGAGGCCGGGGCTCCCCCGCGCTCCCGCCACGGAGCCTCCTCCGGCTGCGGCGCGGGATGAAACCGGAGACGCGGCTGCCCCCGGTCGCCAGCGTTTCACGTTCCCAGCTTCTGCTTTCCTACCTCCTTCCCCGCGGTTGGAGTTTATCCCTGCAGAAAACCAGGTAGGGAGGCAGGAGGGGCGTTGATTTTATCTGCAGCGCTGCAGAATAGCTGCCTTATGCACAAATAAACTGCACCGAACAACCCAACTTCCACCTCTGCACTGGGTCAGAGAACACTTCTAGGGGTTCTTATTCCCACTATTCGGAGTATTTCTCACATCCTTCCACTAGGAACAGCAGAGGCCTTAGAAATCCAGGAAGGCAGCCACGTAGGTGAATGTAAAGCACTCGGCAAATAACCTGAGTTGGTCTTTCTAGGCACAAAAGAAATGGAAGAATTTATATGCCGGTATCTTGGCCCTCGCATGATGAGAAGCATTAGGAAAATGGGAATCTCCCTTTCTTGGGGGCGCAAAGCTCTCTTTTCTTCAGCACTGCGAGATAATGTATCCTCCCCTTCCCGTACAAAGGGCTTATTGGCTCAGGACTATCTCCCTGCAGCCTGAGCCTGGGGCAGGGTAATTTGGGATAGGGATAAGGCCGGGAAGGAGCATTGGTCTGGTCATTTCAATGAGCTGCTCATTCAGAGAGCGGCACTGGTAAGAAGATGATGAAGCTCCAGAAATGGAAATTGCCTGATGGACTTTCATGCGCCTAAAGCTCGTGCCGCTTATCGCGGGGATCTCACCATGATCGATTCCACGGCGCTAAATCGCACTGGCGATAATCCAGATTAACCATGTGCCCAGACTACGGGACCTGGGTCCGCTCCGAATTCCGCCCCGCAAGCTGGTGCTGCCGGCAGCCTCCCTGTTCCCAATGGATCCGCTCGTGAGAGGATGCTGAGCCCCATGCCAGCCATGGCTCCACATTTCCTACCTTCAGCCCACTCTAAGCTAGGAGGGGATTTTTATCCCATTGCAGAGAAGCTGCAAAATTTCTCCCTTTCCATTGACACTCCATGTTTGCCTTCACACTTGAGAGACCACAAGCTACTGGACCTTAGAAATCCATACAAACCTCATCCATGTCCTCGTTTACTGGGCTCCTCTCTAAACTGTTGTAGCCTTTTCATTTCAGCTGCCTGCCCAATTTCTCCCCACAGTTTCACATTTATTTTGCCCTTCCTGTCCTAAACGGTGCCGATGCCCACTCTGAAACCCCGGCCGCGGCGCCTTCATTCGCTCTGCTCCTCCACAAGTGACAGTGAGCAAAAGCAAAATCCACCCGGGACCCGCTGCGGGCCGGCACGTGCCGCGGGAATACGGTCCTTGCTGATTTGTAGCACACAATATGTGTTTTGTTCCACTTAAAAGCAAACGTGTGTTTCAAAGACAGGTTATGTTAAGTAAACCAAAGGGAAGACTAAGGGCTCTCCCTAAGGAGGAGGCACAAAATGAGAATTTCTACTGCAGGTGACAGGGAGTGGAGCCATTGCAGGCTGGCACATCCCGCCCGCGACGCTCGGCGCGGAGCCCGGCGGCAGCTCCGCTCGCTGGAGGGGTTTGGGATCCGGGATGAGCGACACCGGGAGGCCGGGGCTGCCGCCCGGGAACTCGGCATGCGCCAGCCCCTCGGCAAACGGATCTGCTCACATTAAACCTCACTGGCACGTCTCTGCCCCGTGGAAGGCCATCATGAGCAGAACTGATTACATGACTCTCAGTTCCTTGAATCCAAACCCCACATCGACACATCCCAGCACTTTGTGGGAGTTCAGATCCATGGGGTTTTCACAGGTCCAGACTGACTTCACCAAGATGATCCAAGCTAATCTCTAGATTAGTGACTCACAAATTATGGACTAGTCCTAAAAACCCCACAAAAAGTAACTAAGAAAATCAAACCTGATGTCATTAAACTAAAAATTGACAGTCAAAGGGCACTCCTGCAATGGTTTTTTTTTTTTAAGGAGGATGAACAGCAATGCCCCAGGTGCCAGTGTCTGCAGTCACAGTGTGCTGTCCTGAACACAGGAGCTAACGGGGTCCACGCGCTCTGCAGTGAGTCAGGAGATACCGTGGGTGAACGCATCGACTAATTGCCTTAACGAGGCAGCCGCCAGGCTCACGGCAATAACTCCATGAGCCCTAATGCCCGGCGATGAGGCTCGCGCTGCTCCCGGAGGGTCTGGAGCAGCCGCGCGCTCCCAGCCGCAGCGGGAGGATGGAAGCGCTCACGTACCTGTGGGGAGAGGCCGTTGCTCACGGGGTTCATGTGGTTGGCGGGCGCCGCGGCGTTCATGAAGCTCTCCGAGTAGCTGGAGAAGCCGTGCCGGGCGCCGTAGGCAGAGCCGCTGTCGGCGGCGGCCGCGGCGGCGAGGCCGCCCTGGTGCATGGTGGAGGGCGGCAGCGGCTGGGGCCGGTGCACGGTGCTTCCCCCGTCTGCAGAGAGAGGGATCGCGGTGAGACGGGCCGGCCTCGGTGCCTTGTCACCCTCGTAAGCCGGGTGAACATGAACAGACCGTGGGGCAGCTTATGTGCAGTACAAAACATGCAAACACCCGAATATGAAACATGCAGATTTTCACTCAATTTCCTCTGGACAGAAGCTGTAAATTCTTTGGTAGAGGCTGAACTGGAATCAGCAAGAGCCCTTCCACTAGGCTCAGAGCCAGCTCCCAGAGGGCAGCCCCAACGTACTTCGCTCCAGGAAAACTGTTCCTAAAGGAAATGCAAGGACTGGTGCAAACTGGTTCTCAGTAGAGCCCCATACGGAATTTAGTGCATGGCACAGGACAGCCTGTATCACACTTGCTTTGGATTGCAGGCTGCTGCGCTCTCCATTCCAAAGGCGAGTGGAGCACCAGGAGCTCTGAGACATGGATGCAGCAGCAAGGACCCCAGGGCACAGAGCAAACCGCGTTCCCTCGCTCCTAGCAGAGGTGTCTGGAGTTTGCACTGACCCGAGACCAAATTCGGCCTCCCAGCTAGAGCAGCTGCCACCGAAGGGTGACACGGAGCAGGCGGAGAGGAGCAGGGCACGGGCGCGGGAGCTCACCTTGGGAAATGGTGGTTGTGGGGTAGGTGGAGTCCGGCAGCTGGTACGGGGGCAGAGCCGGCATTCCAGCGGGCGGGAAGCCCCCCGGCAGCAGGTGGTTGAACGCCGCAAGCTGGTTGGCGCCCGCCTGTTTGCGCCACCTCGCTCTTCGGTTGCTGAACCACACCTGGCACGGGGAAAGGAAAGAGCAGGGGTGGTCACCGCGAGCTCGTGTGGTCACCATGAGCATCCCAGACCTTGTGTGGTCACTGCCAGCTCGTGTGGTCACCACGAGCATCCCAGACTTCGTGCGCTCATCGCGAGCTCATATGGTCACCGCGAGCATCCCAGAGCTCGTGTGGTCACCGCGAGCATTCCGGAACATGGATGGTCACCACGAGCTTGTATGGTCACCGCGAGCATCCTGGACCTCGTGTGGTCACTGCGAGCTCATGCGGCCACCACGAGCAACCCAGACTTCGTGTGCTCATTGCAAGCTTGTGTGGTCACTGCGAGCATCCCAGAACATGGGTGGTCACCGCGAGCTCGTGTGGTCACCGTGAGTATCCCGGAGCTCATGTGCTCACCGCGAGCTCATGTGGCCACCGCGAGCATCCCAGAACATTGGTGGTCACCGCGAGCTCATGCGGTCACCATGAGCATCCCGGAGCTCATGTGCTCATCGCGAGCTCATGTGGCCACCGGGAGCATCCCGGAACATAGGTGGTCACTGCGAGCTCGTGTGGTCACCATGAGCATCCCAGACTTCGTGTGCTCACCACAAGCTCGTGTGGTCACCGCGAGCATCCTGGAGCTTGTGTGCTCACTGCGAGCCCAGGGGAGCTCGTGTGGTCCCTGCGAATTCCCAGCCCAGCTCAGGTGGCGGAGGTATCAGGTGGAAACGCGTCCAGAAGCCAGAGGAAGAGATGGGGAACACAGAGGGAGGAGGGGAGCAGAGAACGTCCGAGTGACCGGAGCGCTGGCCAAGGGCAGGCTCAAGTCACCGCGCGCCCTTGGGAGCGTTGATCTGCTCCTGGGTTTCCTTTCACCACAACTACTCCCTTATCAGCTAGGCATATGACAAAATCCATATTATGAAAAATTCGGATATTATTAAGGACTCGGGAAGGTGCCTATGGGCAGCAGGGCGAGAGGAGGAGGAATAATGTGGCTTGTGTATTCCGAGAGAGTCCATTGCGAGGAGATGTATTGCTACCACCTGGCCATTCCGCCCTGTTATCTGACAACTATGTGAATTATGCTGAAGGATTAAGCATCATCATAGCGACACGGCTGCACTGTTAGGAGGGATAAATAGATAGATTAGCATCATGGTTTCTGTGTTAGACAAGCTAAATAGATAGAAGCAGACCGGAGGGAATACGGGGTTTTCTCAGCCCCTCTGTGTCGCAGCAAATCACTGCTGTCTGTATGCTGAGCCATGTCCTCCTCGCAAGAGGCACTGCGGCATGTGCTGGCGCTGCGCTGCAGCCAATTTCAATCTCCGGGCATTAAAATAAACCTAGTATTAATGCATGTGCAAAGCTGGGCTCATGTTTCCTACACTACTGGTTTACCTGGGAGACTTGAGGAGAGATTTTTCTAAATGCATTTGTCTGCCCTGATGTGTTTTATCCTGGGCAATCTCCCTTCTGGATAGCGGGAAGGGGTTCTCAAGCTGTCTCTTGGGCTTGGTTTACTTTATTTAATCGGAGAGGCTCTCAGGACCGATTCCTGTTTGGGGTTGAGAAGTATGCGGATAAGCTTTCAAGCCAGATGAGAATGCAGCTGCTGGACTTTGTGAGGCCTAAAGGGCTAGAAAACATGATTAAATTTCACAGCAACAAGAAAAAAAATGGAGCAAAAATCAAGAGTGTAAAGCATTCAGGGAAAAAAAATCCTGCATCGGCCTTCCAAGCTGCTCAGCATCAGATCAGAAGCTGGGGTTACAAGGGTTTGAGGCACTGCAGCCCTGTGAGTCTCCAGGTCTTGTGAATCAAAACAAAACTGCCTTCCCTAAACATGCTGGGGATGGGGCTGATCCTCAGCGTGCTCCAGATCCCGGAACGAGCGGCTCTAGCCTCTAAATCGAGTTCCCCTGTGAACGGTCCCTTCGTTCCTCTCTCCTTTGCGCCCCTGTGTTCGCTCTGCGCCTGCTCCTGCCCCGTTGGCCTCATCCACCCGCCGGGACGCGGTGCCGCCTGCGCTGGGATCCGTGTCCGGCAGCGCTCCGTGCTCCGCGCTCCGGCAGCGGGAAGCGTGGCTCTGGCTGCACGGACCAATGCGTGCACCAGGGACGGGAGCAGGGCGGCTGCGACGGGAAGCGCGTGGGCACCATCCACACGGGCGCTGGGAGCAGCCCGGTTCCATGTGCGACCCGCTGGCGACGTCTGTGCAGGCGGGGAAGGCTCAGCCCTGGGCAATCCTGCACGGCATGCTGGAATCCACATCCTCGCACAGCAAAAACAAAATAAAATGCAATAAAATGCTGTCAAAATATGTTAGATGCCCCTGCGAGAGGCACCCCAGGTCCGCACACAGTGCAGCCATGTGGGTCCCGAAACCCCTCTGAGACGGCTGGAGCGCAGGCGTCACGTCCCGGGCGCCGAGCGCGGCTCCTCCGAGAGCTGCCCCTGTTCTCGGAGCTCCTGCCTGGGCAGAGCAGCCCCCGAGCAGCCTCCAAGGCCTGGGGAAGGGGGCAGCCCGCATCCGACGGGCACCGACCAGCAGGTCAGAGCCCGCGCCAAACCCGGGGAACGCGACGGGAACCTGGGGCAGAGTTAAGGACAGAGAAACGAACGGACAGCGAGGGCTGAAACGTTTGGAAATTTCTTTATACCGTCCAGCACGGCGTCCAGGCCGTGACAGTTTAGAGGAGCACCAAGCGACAGAGGTGAGTAAATAACAGCGGTCTTAGCCTCTCGTTTGCCCGATCACACCACTCGGATGGTGCTGTCCCCCGTTTCACTTCTACACACACATACGGATAATTCCTGCTCTTCAGGGAAACAGGCTCCTTTCACACCATTTGCTTCCACTTCCCAAGTTAAGGAGGACATGAAAACCTTCAGACCATTTCTGTTCACCAGATGGGAACGTAAGGAGAGGTACAAATCTCCAGGGAAAAAAAAAAAGACCTAGTCCCTGGCTGGAATAGCCTCCGCTGCCAAAATAAGGCCTCAGTGCTGAGGAGAGCATGTAGAATTAAAATAACTGGAGAGAAAAATGTACGAGTGCAGGACGCGGGAAGCAAGGAGAATTTGGCCTCTGAGAAAGTGAGAGCCACTCCAGTGAATTCTGACACTGCTCTGACGTTAGAGAGGGTGGGAAAGGGCCCCCTTACAACCCAGCGCCAGATGCTGGCAAATCCACTCGGGATTAGAAGTTTAGAAGAAACATGTGGAGAGCGATGGCCGAGGACGGGACAGGTTCCTCCAAGAAGGACCCGTGCGGACTCGGGCTCTGCCCGCGCTGCTGGGCGGTTTCGTCCTGGCGTTTTCGTCCTTTTGTGCAAACGCGGCTGCAAGTCCCCGATCTTCCACCCTGGCCTGTGCACAATCTCCTTTTCCTCCAGGTTTTATCCCCTTTTGCCCTCCTCCAGGCCCAGCTGGGGATGCTGCCGGTACGGAGGCAACGCCAGGCAGCGCGGTGGGATCCCCACCGTGCCGGGAGCACCGAGACCTTCCATAAAGAATCAGGCAGGATTTGTTTTTCCTGGCAGAGGAAGGGGCGCTTCATGGCCCAAACAGGTCGATTCTGCCCCTTATTTATAACTCACAGAAAAAAAAAAAAAAAAAAAAAAGACACATTCCAGCTAATGACGTTAGCAATTCCTTCCCTTCCCCTGCCTTAAAGGTGGCTCAGGCCTTTATGCTTATAAATCATTTTATTGGTAGTTGAAATAGAGAGGCTAGAGCATCCAACTGTAATGCGAGGCGCACTTCAAAGGGAACCTGCTTTCATTTCACAACAGTTAAGGGTTTATCAGCCACTAAAGATTCCCCTGCCAGAGGATCCTGTTCCACCGCGTTAAGCGCGGGGTGAAGGCCACGGCTGCGGGACGGAGCGAGGAAGAGGCCGGTTCTGGAGCGCTCCCCGCGGGGCCGCTGCTCGGGGGGCTCCGGCCGCGCGGCCGCGGCGGCTGCTGCTTGGGAAAAGGGCTGCTCCAAGGAGCCGGCTGCGGCTCCGGGCCTGGCAGAGGGATCCCGCGCTGGAGCGCTGCCTCCAAGGACGAGCAGCACAAACGCACAACGCAGCCTGGAGCGAATTATCCCGCGGCCGCCCAGAGATGGGTCAGCTCCCACAATTTGTCAGACAAGGAGAGGAAAGGGAGGTCAAAAAGAGCCTCCTGTGGGAAAGAAAGCCTGGTGTGTTCCTGCTCGGCCTAATCAGGACTCGATGTTGGAGGAAGATGGATGGGATAAACGAGCTCATAAATGAAAACAGGGACAGAAGAGCCAAGTCCTGCCCCGCTCTCAGCAGCATGGGAGAGACGCAACACGTGTTTGCTCTCACAGGGCCAGGAGCCGCAGGAACCAGGAGCAGGACGGCCCGCTCCGCGCGGCAGGCTCAGGGCAGCGCCG